TTAGAAAGAACCGCCCCTTTTGCTGGAAAAAGGTCCACTCTGGGTAAAATTTGATCTATGTACATGAAGTTTTTATGAAAAAAGGTCCACTTTTTCAGAGAAAGAACCCCCCTTTTGAAATTGCTGGCTATGGGCCTGGGCTGTGTTGTGATTAAAAGTTATCAGTCCAGCAGAATGGATCTATCTCTGTGGGAATTCTTGCTAAGAACTAGGGTAAAGTTGGGAAAACTTTGTTGTCCATGATGTTGTTCATGTTGCTTTGCAAGGGGGCATGCCAGATAAATGTGCCAATTACAATGATTGCACCTTAGCAAGATTCCCTGTTGAGATAGATCAATGCTGCTGGGCCGATAGCTTTTAATCTGAACACAGCCTAAAATGAAAAAAAAAATTCAAACTTTGTCTCTCGGGGTTTACTCTATATCACACAACACAAAATGCCAACATGACTTAACCTAATGTTCATTTTACAACTTCTCTCAGGAAATGAAAGAAGACTTGATAATGTGCTCATAAAAATAATCATAGGTGTGACTTATTTCTTGGGAGCAGGTTGCCATGGTCACTTTATGGTACCACAAAAATAAAAAAAATCCTTTTAAGAACAATTAAATACCTGCTCAGTCATATGATTTGACTTCAAGTTTATGGAAATTATACAACATCCAATTGATATACCATATATTAAAAATTAAAAAATATATTTCCAGATTTTAAATGTTTCCTGATAGATTACCGATTGGAGAAATAATTTTTTTTATTTGTGCAAGATTACTAGGACTATGATAGGATAGCAATATGACAAAGAACATAGGACAGTTAGAAAATGTCCTCACCTGTCCTGGGCCGTATTTGAGTGCTGCATTGATGAAAGACATGATGGCCGTCTTCAGATGGACCTCCTCTCTGTACACACCAGTACTTCTGTCCAAGTCATTGATCAATGTCTGCAAAACACCACAACACAAGCTTTGACACACAAAATTTAACAATCAAAAGTTTCGTAGTATTCTATAAAATAAATATGGGCACACATACTTCAATCCTAAGAAACTCAAACAGGCAAGTTCTAGAAGGACGTCTACGTTTGCTCCAGAGAGTGGCTTCCTTTTTACCCATTTTTGAAAATCTTCACAATGAAGACTTCAAAATTTACCTATAATCCCTCAATCCTCCAGATAAGGAAATGAGATTTTCAAAGTCAGCTTCCAGCTAACAGTGAAGGGGCAATTCAGTAGAGGCTGTGTGTATGTGAAGTATCCACATTAAATCAACTTCAGTGAATCATGATAACTTTTTCTGGATTTCTTTTGACCAAATAACTGTTAAAAAAAACTTGAAAAGCACAAGGAACAACAACCCAAAATGTAACAAGATAGGTTTTGACAGGAAGGGGAGAGTATGGGGTCAAAGACAGACAGGAATGTAGAGAGAATATGACTGCGATGTCAACTGGCCTAACCTTTCTCTGATGTGAAAACTTTTTTCACAGTAAGCAGCAATTTTAAAGCAATTGCTTATCAATGCAATGGAAATTGTACTGCCAAGAGCATTTTTAAGTCTATTGAACTAAGTGCAACAGACCTGTGAAGTTTTAAGTAAAACAATTAAACTGAATCTTGATAAAGCAATCCTCATTTTACACAAAAAATGACACAGTTATCAAACGACTCCATCCTGAACAAATTGACCCACCTGGAACCTGGTTCGTTCACACGCATACTTTTGGTAATACAGCATGGCGTCCAGAACTTTCTTGTGTCCGCCTGGCACCAAGCAGACAGCACCAAGGATCTCCAGCACAGCTATCTTTGTCTTGATGTTGTCCGTGCTCAGGCTCTGGGCTATTATGTTAATACTGTTGGGATGGGCCAGGACATGAGCTCTACCTTGCTGAAATGGGTTAAAGAGAAAATCATTTCAAATTATCTAATATTATCTATATCACTGCACAAGAATCCAAAGAAATACAAACTTCATCAAGATAACTTTTAATATAAATACACCAATTTTTAACTAACAGCAAAACTTGTATTGTAACTGAGGCCCTATTTAGAATAGGGGGCCAACTAGCCTGAGTGTCAAATATGGCTGACCCACTTGAATACTTCATCACGGGATATCTATTCAGTGTCTACCAGCGGATTAGACGGCAAGCTTTGTAGTGGGTCCCAATATTTGACCCTCGGACTAGTTAGTCCCCTATTCTGAATGGGGCCCAAGTTTCAGACATGGCAACCATTGTTCTACATTGTGAAGGACTATAGATTTATTTGCAGCTTCATGCCAAGACATTTTTTATAACTTTTGTAAGAAAGCACAACAGCAGTAAACTTCATGTGCATCACATTTCACTGACATGGCTTTACTTTACATACAGTTCCAATTTGCATTTAACAGGTCTTGTTCTGGGCTTAAGTAACTTATAGTAACTGGCTCGCGCTGCCAGTAATTACGCCGCGGGATATTCAGGGCACAGACCATGATCATAAGACATACCGCGAATAGAAAATAGAATTTAGAAAATAGACATTGCATGTGAATGAAGCCTAAAACTCAGATCCCATTCCAAAAAAGACACCATTGGTCTACTTCCAACATTCTCACATAATCACCAGGTTTTTTGGTGCTCTTTTTAAGCCAGGAGGAGGCGTGTTACTCTGTTAAGCTGATTGCACTTAGCCAGAATCTCTGCAGAATTGGGTCAATCCAGGTAGACCCATATATGCATATATTTCCACATTTAAGTAATAAACTTTTACTCATGCATCCTCCATCAGCTGTTTATATTTATTCATTTGAATATTTTAGAAAAGTTATCATCTTCTAGCAGTGTGTTTTATATTTAAAAAATGTATTTAAGTTTATGTAATTACCCACTGTATCAAACAACTAGTTTTAAAATCCTTTTTTCAGTGAATTTTTGGCCCAAAGACCTAAATCAGCCATCAACACCATCTCTTTTACGAGGTGTTATTCATGTAAATTTTGCAGCACCATGAACCAATCACATCAGATTATGGACCTCCTCTGCCAAAATGGTTCATCAGCACCAATCCTGGGGGTTGAAACCTGAACATTCCTCTTCAATTAAAGTACAGTTTTTTCTGGAAAAAGTTCCTTCTATGAGCAAATTGTTGTTGGAACATCATCCGAGTCTCCATGGTTGCTGAGCACACACACATGGGGAAAATCTTAAAAGAACTTTTTGCCTTTTCAATTGAACTTTAAAATTTGTAAGTCTTTTTCATACCAAAAAAATCCAATTGCCTGCGAAAAAATTTAATCTTTTTCTCCACTGCAATTGATATTTCTTTCTTTTTGATGGACCTAAAATTGCAGAAACCATCTGCTTTTCCAGCCAAGCCCACTTCAGTATTTCATAAATTTCCAGTACTATAAAAACACAGTAGTGTGGTCAAGTGGAAATCTCAAATTTAAAAAAACCTGGGAGCATTTTAAATTCCACTCAGTCTCAATCAGAAGGTCGTTTGCCAGATGTTTACATCAATTTAGTAGCATGTGCAAAAAGCATATAGAAAAGAAAAACTCAATTAGACGATAAGAGGTTCAACTTTACTTCTTAAATGATCTACAGGGCCATGCATGCCAGTCTTACAGAGCCCAAAGACAAGGAAAATGTATGTTTAGACCAAAGTGCAAACAGCAAGTCAAATAAAATCTAGAAGTTTATGACAAAAAAGTATGATTTAAATTGGTCTGTTGGGTTCTAATGCCTATACCACTCTCACATATAGTCAGGAAACTCTGATCATATATGGGCCCTAGCTGGGAAAAGCTGTCCATCTGCAGTCTCATGTACTTGAAATCAAATCCATAAACACGTTTTAGAGAAAAATGGAATTTTATCTATATTTAAAAGAAGCTCAATGCGCTGCTGAAATTGGCCTGCAATTCATTTGATCTGATTTTTTCTTTAAATTATCAATGCATAAAAGAAAACTAATTGGATCTTTAAGCAAACACATCAAAAAACAAATCTTGCTCTTTCAGAACAAGGAGAATATTTTTTCAATGAATGTTCCAGCAATTTCCTTGTCCCACCCAAAGAAAAGAATGCTTCTCTTGGTGAATATTTTTTAAGATGGAGAACCCAAGACCTCTGCTTTGCTCAGGACAAGAAGAAAGGCTTTTTAAAAAATATCTTCACAAATTTAATTACTTTAAGCCAAATATACTTGTGTTGCAACACAAACAAACCATTCTAAGCAGTTATTGAGGAACAGGAACACTCATTTAGAAGGATGTCTTAAATTGCATGAAGGCCTCTAACTATGCAAAACCCTTGGACAAGACAGAAAAAATCATCTTTAATCATCTATAGAGATAACAGTGTTTTCAGGATTTATCATAATTGTTACTCAAGTTGAACTGGACAGCAAAGCTGGCAAACATACACACACTAAATAGAAATTAAGTTTAATCAATCATGCTGACTTTCAAACTCAACATGCTTTTTTACAAAACACAGCCTATGAGCAAAACAAAATACAGTTTGGCACATTGGCGTAAACATAGTCAAAATACGAAAAAAAAAGTGTTCAAAGTGATTTTCCAACTCAGCTTGTCTTTTCTCAAATGAAATTCCTTAGTAAATTTATAATAGGGTGTCTCTACATAAAAATACAAAAGAAGAACAAGAACAATAAAAAATAGTTATTTGATTAAGAAAAATGTCATCTTATTGCCATCTTATTATATGTCACATACAGCACGAAAAATTAAAATAGGACAAGAAAATTCATTGCTTTCTTGCATCCCCCCCCCCCCCCCACACACACACACACACACACACACACATAGATTAAGTTGGTATCACAATGTGTTATTACACTAAAACAAGTCATGAACAGCTGCCGGTCCTGATCCCACCCTCACCAACCACTTAACACCAGAAGTGGATGTAATATTATGTGGAATGCAGCTCACAGCTGTGGGGACCCACCCTTATGTGGTATAACACAAATAGTAGTTTTCAATTCGTTACACAATATACATCAGTTGGACATAACTTCAAGACTTTTCTCCTGTCATGCTACGGGTAGTGAATAGTGAACCTTGCCACTTAAACACAGTGCTTTTACTTGTACAAAATATAATTTATAATAGTAATTAAATCAGTAATAATAATAATAATAAATTACTGATATTACAACTAATAGCAGGGCTACACCAAAATCTATACAACTGTACCTACATTTGTCCCCCACTACACTTTTTTTATACAAAGATGGACAAGACATGGACCCTGTCACTGATGCACGCACGCACACACATATGCACGCACACACACTGAAAGCAGTAGCAGTCTCTTGAAATCTTTTCTTTTCATTTTAGACTAAACGAAGCTTTCTTGCTGAGAGAAAAGGGGTTTTAAAAAGTCACTTTCTTGTAAAAATGCATTGCATTTGGTCAATTAAGCTGATGAGAGCATCATAATTATGCATTTTCTATAAGACTCAAAATGTGCTCCTTTGTATGTTCTATTCAAAAAAGATCTTTCTTGAGATTTTCTGAAATCATTTTCACAAAAATATCGACTCGCCCTTTGAGAAATTGACATTTTCAAGAAAATCTACTTTTTTCAGCGCCGTTTTTTCCCTACACACCAAGCGCACACACCCTGCATTGTGAAGTAAAATAAATAGTCTGATACTAAGCATCAAACATGGAATTTGCATGGTTGCTTACAATACATATAACATACAACATTGTTTGCAATGTTTTAGTATAAAGTAAGGCTTTCCAAACACTTTGTTCACACTGACAATTCAAAGTCAGGAATATAGGATTTCATATCTGTCTAATTTCTCATTTTGAATTTTGATACTTCTATATAAGCTTATTTTTTTAACACTTAAGACCTACATAAGCTACAAAGCCTTTTTTCTTGGAAAATCATCCTGCAGCTTCTCAAATACAATTAAATGATATGATGCTTTTCCTCGAGATCTTGAAGGAGTTAGCGTTAAGGTTTGCACTTAACTTAAAGTGTTCAATTTCAAAATCTATGCAACAGTTTGATATTAATATATAGTTTTATAAATAGTTTTTCCATAATGCCTTTTCAAATTTGAAAATAAGCCCCTTTTCCTCAATTTCTTGAAGTGTGAGTCTTAACATTTCATTGGAAGAGCTCCTCCCAATTAAGAATCAAACAAATAAAACATTTACAGCAGAAATAATTCCTACAGGCATTTACATATCAACATCATCCCTTTCCAATTCTCCCTCCCTTGCTTTACACACCCTTTACAAAGTAATTAGCAAAACTTCTCTTCAATCACGGGGCTGGTGTATTGTTCCTGTCAAAAACCTTCAAGTTATCAATTATTTTCCACTGTCTGTCCACCTTCTTGTGTATCAGACCAGTTTGGAAATTTAATTGGTATTTTTTTTCAGATTTATTTGCCAATTAATGCCACTGTAAGTAGTTTGGAAGAGGCACTGTGCCCCAAGTTTGACTTTGTTTAGAAAGTAGTAAGTGATACTATTAACCATGCCCTTACTGATGACTGCATCCAGGCAATCATTTAGCTATTATAATGGGGTTAGTCCTTTGCACTAAATCCAATATTGTCTAGGGTGCACTTCATGAACAAAGCATAATTAAGTCGAGGGTTACATGGTAAACTTGGTCATTTTTTTAAAATAGGTCACAACATACCTATCTAAACATTTTCATCATATTATTTGAGATTGCCCCCCTTCCCACTCAACTTGTGGAAGATTATTGTAACAGTGATTACTTGATCTCTTCAATGGGCAAAAATTATCGAACTGTTAGATACAGAATTTTATAGTGCTTTTGCTGCATAAAATAGAACTATAGTGTAGCCTTCTTTTTAATTTTGTTGCCCCACTCAATAGGAATATTCTAATTTTAAGAAATTATGATTAAAAAATACAGCATCTGCAAAACTCACCCCCCGCCCCCCCCCCATTGAAAAGACTGAGTATTTACCATACATTTTACTTACAGAGTTGTTCATTAGAGCCTTGATGCATCCTATGACGGAGGTGTGAATGGCGCCCTGACACGTCTCAAAGTCCAGGTTTTCCAGAAAGCGGAGGAGACACTGAAGACCATCAAGCTCTATGAAACGTGTCACAAACCTGGAAATAAAGCAACAGTAATTATAGTTATCACGAAATTAATAGCTGATGCAAAAGATGAATGAATAAATGAAAAAAAATGAATGAGCAAATGAGGGTAAGTAATTAATAAACAAATATTTACTTTAATTTTATGAAAGTATAACTTAGAGATACTTATGCAAAATGAGAAATTAAAAAGTAAATACTATGGCATCATTAAAGGACTAAAAGTTATTTCAACATTATGTGAAGAATTGAAATGAAAAATGTAACAAATATTAAACAACCAAATATTTGCTTGCTCAAACTAAACCTTCATTATTCAATACATAAAAAATTATCTGCAAATTAATCATGCAGACATACAATGTGACAAACAAAAATTTCTCCACAAAAAGTAAGGGCTTAAACTTTAGAAATTACAAAAACTTTCTAAGAAGGCTATTTTCTTACTAAGGATGCAGACCACCGACTATAATGAAAGTGAAACATACTGGTATCCATTATAGTTGCTTAACAGATTTCAAATCTTTAAATGTATTTTAAAAAATAAGATAGGAAATGCCAACTGTCATAATCAGGTATTACACCATACAGATGAAATGATCAACAATACAAAGAAAAAAAAACTCCTGTTAAAAAGTACACTCTTGAGCCCTTAATAAAGAGCTAACAAATAGAGAATCAATATGTAGTTTGAGCACTACAGGCAGTTTTTCTATAAAAAAATTCAGTTTATACATGTATAATTTTGTCAGGTACAGATATTAGTAATTAAGTCTATAATGAAGAATATCTCATATGCTTCTTCGTTGATTCTTTGTTTTGCTCAACACTAGAACTGCATGTACACCATAATACAATGAGGGTTTGAATTACTGAATGACTGTACAAAAAAAATTGAGGTGGTTGAATCAACAAACTACAAGAGTCCCACTGTGAAATTATCAGCTGATCAATCCATATGGCACCACCAGGGTAGAATTTAACTTCTTAATTTGTTACATTGGGGTCATTTTACAAAAATTTTAGCTATTGTGGCAATTACAGCATTTCCTTTTATTGTATAAATAATTAAACACCTATCACAGGCCAAACAGTTTAACATAAATAAAGTATTCTAAAGATCAAAATGATTACAACTTAATAAAAAAAAATACAGGAAATTTCATTAACTCACAAAAAAGACCCAAGAAATTTTGCCTATTTCACGCTTCAGCGAGCATCCTGGCATGGAATTCTATTTGGGTTCACAAATTCAAGAGCAAAGAATGGATAACAAAAAACTCGAAAAAGTGAGTTGTCTTCATGTCAGAATTTTTTTCTATTTGGTATGACTTTGTGGGACAAACCAATCCAAAAATATTGAGAACTATTTTAAGTTATTTACATCAGGACCTAATGACCTCTACTTAACAGAGACCAGTGTTCTCAACTTCCTGGGATCTATAATTTCATCCCATTTCCTAGTATACTAGGTGCCACATTCATAGGAATATAAGGCTCTATTCCCATAGATTTTAGATCGATCTATCCCCGCAGGGAGTCTCACTAGATGACTTTCAGATAATCCGACTTAAATGTCCGTCCCGCCTACTACAAGCTGTAAGGGGATAATTAACTTTCGTGTCTGCCCGGCTGACAGCTATTTAGCGTGAACCCCCACGGAGTTAGGTCGATCTAAAGTAGGTCGATCTAATCTATGGAAATGGGGTGTAAGTTATACAACTCTGATTATTCAGTCTCGAAAGTCAAGAATAACTCCACCATATGATAATCACTTTTAGTGTATCATCTTTTAATTATAATTATCTCACAAAGTTGAGCAAGTTCACAGTAATTTCCAGTTACACCCTGAATCATCATATGTAATCTCCAACAACAGGTGGTTGAGGTATGTACAAGCAGTTGCAAAATATTTCCAATCATCTCAGTTAAAACTTATTCAATACTGATATAGTAACACTGTCAAAAGCCTGGACTACTCTCTCCAATTACTGTTTACTGAAATCTAAATCAGCACTGGCTTACTGCTTCCAGAAGTTTTGACTACCCAGCCCTTTCATGACTGATCAGTTTCTTGTAATGACCATAGGGCAGGTTAAGACCAGTGTTAACCTCTCAGTGACCATACTAGTAGAGATATCATAACATAATAGCTTCAAATCACTGGTATCATACTTCCAGCCACTCAACAAAGGTCACACTGGAACAATCTAGTTGGCTGTGATTTCATCTCTCCTTCTTTTCTCGGTTCTTTATATTTTCTCTACTATACTATGGACTCATCCCTAATTGAACAGATTATTGAAAACTCCCCTCTATTATCATTACCTCTCATATTTGACACAAGTTTACAGCAATCCATACTGTGATGTACAAAAATCAATTTTATGTAATATTGAATATATATTAATTAATCATTCATTTGAATAAAAAATACTATTTCAAGTTGCACAAAAGAGCAGTACTTCTTAAGAAAAATAATTGTAACATGCAAACTTGCAGTAACCCCATTGTAACATGCATTTAAACGGAGAAAAATTAAACTGCAGGTCACACCATATGTACATCTATTGCAGAAGGTTGATACATATTATAGAAATCTCCAAACCAAGACCAATCCATCCTTGTAGCTTCAGATGCAATGCTTTCGTTCTAAGAGGTTTGGTCAAAACAGGGCTCTGATAATAAGAATTTGTGCGCAATAAATATTTTTAGGCACAGTAAAGCAACAACTGGTTTGGCCATCCTGTGACCAATTTGGAATTTGTAATAGATCACACGTCAAGTGCATTCTTCTGAAGACATATAACATTTTTTCCTGTCTGGACCTTTAACTTTTCACTGACACACCCCATCAACAATTACCACAGTTATTTCAGTCTCAGCTTTCTGTTCTTTTTTAAATGCTATACTCAATCAAAATAATGCTTTCATAATAAAAATATTTATGCTTTTTACTCTTCTTGCATTATATAGCATTAATTAAATTTAAAAAAACAATTCAAAGATCCCCAACCATTCAGTATCTTTTAAATAACATAAAAATAAATAGCCAAAGTGGTGATTTTACTTGATCCTTGATAGAGCCACTTGAGTTAAATAGTTTACTATTTTAAAGTGGTTGTCCTTACTGTAATAGATCATGGTTTAAGTGCATTCTTTTGACAAAATATGGCATTTTTCCTGTCTGGATCATCAAACTTTCGCCAAGGTACTTTTTCATCAATTACCATTTTGTGACATATGGTCTGTGCTAACTTTTTCTGGTAAAACTGCACTCTGAACAAATTTTGCTTCTTAATAAAGCAATGATTTATAAAATCAGCTTTAAACAATAGAACATATATAAAAAGCAATTAAGTCAAAGGAATTAAAACATCAGTTAACATCACACTCAAACCTGACATATCAAAATCAACACAAAGCATAAATAAAACAACAAAATACCTGAAATGCAAAAGTATCCATCAATTTAAGATGCATAATTCTGGCATATTTTCTAATCCAAAATAATCAATTACCTTAGCTGCATGATTTCTATTCTTCACAGTATAACAGGCATAAAGACATTCATAGACACGGCCATCCAGTGCCCACAGTTTGAACAGAAAAGTCAGCCAGTATACGAAGCAGGCATGCCTAGGAATGCTGGGTAGGTCACTCAGAAAGGTCAGAACATGTGGAGAGAGCTGGTTGCCATGGCAACTGAGCGTAAGAGGGAGGGAAGGCACTAACTGTGCATACTGACTCTCCATATCTTTACTTACGGTTTTATATTTAAGCATTAAAATAAATGCCTTTGAAAAAATGAGCAAGGATTTGTACCATGCTTTTTCCTGGACAAGATCTATGTTAACAAAGTTACTTAAAGCGTCTTGCATAACTTCACAGACTCCTTTTTTCTTTTTTTGTAATGAAACCCCTCTGCAGTCATTGTATAACAATTACTCTGCAAACCTACAACAGCAAACCCACATTCCAACAATCAGAAACCCTTAAAACTGAATCAGCTTATTGGGCCACGAACAAAAGCAACAAACAGAAATAAAACACTGAAGAATGAGAGTGCAAGAAGCATCACATCCCAACGCAATTTTAGAAATTGCACCAGTGCAGCACAGCTACCACAATGAACCCTGCCATACTCACCTCATTGGTTGTGTTCTCAGTGCAGTCTTCAAACTGTCCACTACTGTCAGGCGGTGTGACATCTCCTCTGTCCTGTCACCAAAGAACACCTGTGAATAGCAAACCAATGTGTCATCTTCATTGTTTGCCATGCAATGATATAAATATAACAAAGCCATTTTTAGAGAAAGATCAGTAGAAAATCATATATTGTCTTGGTTGTCATTTTTTTCCCACAAGGCTTGACAATATGGCACTTCATCAAATCTCAATCACAAGACTGATTCATCTCTGTGAGCTTTGAAAGTTTACATACTTTAATTTTTACCATCATCATACAAGCAACAATGAAAACCCTATCTCAGAGTCTACTTACTGTTGCTGTGGCCATCGCCTGGACCCTGTCTATGTAGTAATCTGGCCAGCTGATAGAGTTTGGGTCTTCTTGCTCCTACAGATAGATAAGAAGAAAAATTAGTACCAAGCTACAGTGATATGTTTCACTCTTTTAAGTAAATTGTGTATATAATACTCTTTCTTGAGATTCAGGGTTGATTTTTTAAATAAACAATAAATATTCGTGCTTGCCTGACTTTGAAATAGGAGAGAGTAAGAGTTGAAAATAAGAACCATACGGTATGTCATCTATAGCCTCAATAATGTCCACTGATGATAGTACTAATAAATGTAACAACTTGCTGAAATTCTAATATTATCTTGTTTATTGTGGGGAAAGTGGAACAAATTAGGCATGATAACTCACTTTGGTTTTATTTGCCCAGCTCTGCAAGCATTTACAAGAAAATAGTGGGTCATGGTACAATAATGATTCTAATGGGATTGAAAACATTTTTAAAACATTCAACTAGGAGTCTTCTTTCTTTTTATACACGAAAGTTACCATTTATATGCACAACTAATTTTGCAAACAAGATGGCACGGCACTACTTTGGTTGTGAAATTGTTAAAAAATGGAGTGGAACTGGACATGTACTTGTTACGGAGTTAAAAGTGTAGAAAGGAAAGGGGGGGGGGGCTGCTTTTAATTCATTCCTTTTCTTTGATGGGCAAACTTAAATTTTATTCATGAAATTTTCTTCAAAGCAATACACTGCCAGCTAATATAAGAGTTAATTGCACACCAATATGTCATGTACCAAATTCCACATACTCGATTTATCACCTGTATTTGCTATTCAACTTGTAATATTTTTACCACCATATCTCCATCTATTTCAATCAGAACATCATGAATGACTACTCCAAATATCAATAATGAACAATAGTATGACGTTCTGAGAGGTCTTTGATATTTTCTTTTTTTTTCCCTCTTTGTTGGTGACTAATTCACAAATCAATATGGCAGCAAGATTGGCTCTGTGCAGTGCATCTGTAGTACACATATGACTCAAAGTTGATCAGAACATGAATTATTGATGAAACACTCTGAGATCAACACGGTGAACCAGACAATATGTTGGGCAAATCTGATTCAAACTTGTGTTTGTAATTTATGGACGTTTATCTATTTGTTTCCTGATAAACTATTATAGGATTTTCTCATTGATTATCTTTCCCTTCTTGGTAGGAACACAAAATGTCTTTCTTTCTTCAACCCTGCCTCAATTTTGGCTTTTAACTATGCTTAATTTTCACCAATCTCTTCTGTTCTAATATTTATGCTGTGCTACCACCTACACATATTTGTTCAAATATTGCCTTTGTATAATCATTGATGTAGATCTCTACAAACCCTGTAGATACTGTAAGAGTACAGATGTCGACATGTGTTTGTGCTACTGAAACCATCCATGTGCAGGATCTTTCTAATCACAGCAGGTTCTTTCTAATCACATGCTATCAATTTTAAACTATGCTTTTGATCAATGCGTTTCATCCGCAGCAATTCCAGGAATCACTTTCTTAGGCATTTTTCCCCATACTGACCCAATGTATTTTAATTGGTAAAAGCAGTCTGAGGATTTTCTTGAAAGGGAGGGTGGAAATACCTGACAAATGGTTTCGCTTCCTTTGCGAAGTCTTCTGTTGGTCCAGGGGGTGAGGCAGCCATATTAAGTGGAGCTGTCAAACTGACATTTGTGAGCACTTACAATATTTGGACATTATCAATTTCCTGCAGCATTTTGGTTATAACAGTTTCTTTAAAACAACTGGCTGTCAGCTAAGATTAGGGTTATTTGCACTACAATATTTTGGTGTCTATCAAGGCAACTTATTCAAAGAGTGAGGCTTACTGCTGGAGGGCAAATCACTGGTCTTACAAATGTGTAGAAAATATACAATAAATGAGCAATGAAATGAAACTAACCTGATGGAATTCTTTACAGCATCATTTTGCAGTACATTTGATAATTTCTAAAATTTATACTAAGATACATTTAGGAAGGAAAATTGGCCTCCATTAACAGATGCAAATAATATTTCAGTTTGATGTTCTTTTTATTGTATTTTCATAATTTAGTAGTAAATAATGAACAGAAGAGAACCAATGCTGATGAGACATGTTATTACATTAATTCTCTTTAATGGAGCAATGATTAATCTCTATTGTCTGATATGCCTCAGTTAATATGCCATTATATTTCTTCATCCATCATTACCTGAACTTTTTTATCTGTCCACAAAACCCATTTTAACAAAAACTATATGATCTCTGTAAATAATATTACAGCTCATCCTTGAATAACTGCAATAACATTCTGCAAATTTAATACCACACAAAGAAGGGTAATTAAAAAGTCCTAAGCATAGACATCTCCCAACATACTTATTAGAAATACAACAGATATAATAAGCTGATCAACAGCAGCTGGGCTGGTAGCTAATATATACATTTTTTTCCAATTGGTTTATAATGTTCCAGTAGGCCATTACAAATCATAATGATGAAAATCTTCCTGTGACTGACAGTTTGTAATTAAGAATTTTTCTATTCAGTGATTTTTGACCACAAGAGAATAATTCAGTAGTGCTTTTTATGAATGTTAAGATCTGTGGTGAATGGAGACTATATCCCAGTGTGTATGTGTATACTCAGTATACCGACTTCAGGCCCATAGCCAGCAATTTAAAAAAGGGGTTCTTTTTCTGAAAATGTGGACCTTTTCCCATAAAAACTTCATGTACCAAGATCAAATTTTACCCAGAGTGGACCTTTTCCCAGTAAAAGGGGCGGTTCTTTGAAAACCCCTGAACCCCCCCTGGCTACGGGCCTGGACTTCGAGATGGAAATGATAAAACAAAGCACAAAATAAAGTGTTTTAATAAGCAAAATGTTATCTATTCCCTAGTAACAATATGAACTGCAGTGATTCTGAATAACACCTGTTTGTATATCAACACCAATAAGGGTCTGACATAAAGGATGTTCATTAAAATTAATTTAAAATTCTCATGTGAATTTTACTTAGTTTGTCATGTCTGTGTTTTCACCATTGGTGTGATACACAGGGTGCTGATCTTAACATTTCTATAGATATATTCTCACTATATGCGTGATATTCAGGGAGAGGATCTTAACATCTCCATAGATACTCTCAACAAAGGTGTGATACACAGGGTGCAAATCTAAATATTTCAAAAGATATTCTCAACATGAGCATGATACTCAGGTGGCTGATCTAAACAAACTGGCTCAAAGGTATGACATTACAAGAGGGGAAAGAAAACCAGGTCCCAGTTAGCCAAATGTGCAGCTACATGTTCCATCTGTTTTAAGAATGTGAAATTTATACAAACTGCATGAAATGGGACAAAAAAATCATGTACATGATTTCTGTCCTCCACAATTCAAAATCTGTTTATCCTTATGACCAAAACTGTTTTCCTGAAAATGATATATTGTATCTAAATGAAGGAAATGAACCACAGCCTGTTAATAAGATGGCAATCAAAGACCTCAGTAACACCATAAGGTTACTAAATCTTCCTTCATGAATCACCTACACTCAACTTTTGCCTGATCAATACTGTCTAGCTAGGGCATTACTGTACTTCTTGTAAGTCAACTAAGTCATTACTCACTATGTTTCTGTGAGTATGTGATTAATCTATACACCAACACCCTGAGTATCATGCATTTGAAAAAAAAATTTTTCAAAAGAATATCTAGAACATCCAGCTCATATCTAAATTTACATATTTATTATTAAAAATATTTTTCATCAGTACTCAAGTACCATGAACATGTTGAAAATTCATAAAGAATTATCCCAAAACTGTGACAAAATACAAGCATGTGCAGGCCAGGGGGGGTTCGGGGGGTTCGAAAGAACCCCCCTTTTTGCTGGAAAAAGGTCCACTCTGGGTAAAGTTTGGCCTAGGTACATGGGGATTATATGGTAAAAGGTCCACTTTTCAGAAAAAGAACCCCCCCCCTTTGAAATTGCTGGCCACGGGCCTGACCTGTATGATTATTTTTCTCCACACAGGGAAGGCTAGAGGTGGCCAGAAATAATAACATCTGATCAAAGTTGCATCATTAAAGCATTTTTGAAGGGATTCTCTGTGTATGGGGATAGTATGGGCACAGATCTAGAGCAAATGTTGAAATCTGTGTCATATATACAAATAAAGAATTGGACAATGTAACTTGAGCTGTTTAAAGAAAATGGATTTTGTAATATAGGGATTTGATGGCCTTTTCCATTTTATGAGAGTCTTTAATGCAGTATTTGGAAATCTGTTTCACAAGCTTTAATTGTCATACTGCTAAACAGCCATTCCACGAAAAAGGGTTCAATTCTGAATAATACCTGTCGCAGCTTATTTTCGGTAGTAAAAGCATCTGCAATTTTGCTTTTTTTAGCCTTTTTTAGCAGGACCCGATGTGTTCTACTTAAAAAACAACAATTAATATAGTACCACTTGGTTTGACGGGAACCCCGGGGGTCTATATGCCGCAAAAAGCACGATTTCGACGTGTCGCTTCGGTATTATAGCTGATTTGCCACAAGAAAAAGTTTATATTTTCCCGTGTTTTAGTGTTTTTAGTCCTCAACTAATTTGAATTCATGTTTCTTTTTATCATACATGGTGATCTCTGTCGAATTTGTTGGTTAGTTACGTCACTGTCATAGTTTAATCAATGTCGCTCAGTAACCCCTAACCTCCGTAACGGTTTTTTAAGTCAATGTAAGAATAAAAGAAAATGCTCTTAAATGGCCTTCCTGTGCATTTTTCAAACTCATAATACATGAAGTTTAATAAAACAGTGCTATTTGTTAATTTTGAATGATGCGTTCCATCATAGAGAATGTTAACTCACAAAAGTCGGGGTGTCGCATTTAAGAGCCTAACCTCAGTAACGGACCAAATTTGAAGAAAATGTTGCTTTAGAAAGTTAAAAACATCATTTTTGTTAAGCAAGGACCAACTTCTTCCTAAAAAATTCATTCAATAGTTATGCAAAGTTATCCCGAGGATAAAAACTGAAAAAGAATGCGTGTCACCTTACGTCCGTTATGCTAACCTCCGTTACGAAATAAGTTAATTGTTATAAAAATGACTGTTAATACTTTAAAACGTTATTTCTGTGGTTTTGTGAGTTAATTCTGATCATATAAGTAGTTCTACTTCTATGTTCTGATGTAGTATGCATTCATAC